AAAACATTAAAAAAGGATATAAACATATCCAGTCAAACCTGGTCTGGGGGTGCTATGTGAAGAACTTTGCCTGCTGTTCAGCCTATTATATTCATTATATTTTTTTTATGCTCATTCTACCCAAAATTCATCAAAAAGGGCTCCGGGATTTCCTAAATGTAATTCCTGAAAACAGTCACATTAAACCCACAAAATAATGAATTACTTTACAGCTTTTCATATGTACCCAATCCTAACATACTTTACTTAATATATGTTCATTTTTTTAAAGCAATCAGTTTCCATGGTTTTACCAAGTGAAGAAGACTGGCGTTTATTTAAATGCTGCTCACATTTGATCTTCTAAGTAGTTTCATAGGTTTATAATAATCATCAAAATACCTCCATGTCCTCTGGAAAATATTTTGCAGCCTTTCAACAAATCCAAAGATATGTTATAGAATTAGGTTTCTTACAATTAATTCTGAGGTTTCACACTTTTATACCTCAACAAGCTGAAAGGTGACCATTCATTTAGAGATAAATGAACTTACCTTGCAGAGCAGATGGATCAGAGTATAAATGCAGTTGAAAGAAGAGAGAAGGATCTATGGTCTGAAGGTGTCTGATCATTATCTTGCATGCTTTGTCTCCTTTTTTCCTCACTGTGTCAATAAAGCAACGTGCCTTATCAGCTCTAACAGGGTTCCCCTCCAATATCGATTCTTTCTCCAAATCATTGAAGACACTTTCTGTTACAAGGGCATCAAGCAGCTGTATAAGAATTTCTGGTGAGACCCTCCACACAAAGGTTGTCCGTACCCTGGCAAGCTCCTCCTCTACAGGAACAAGAAAGAGCTATAAATGTACATCTCACTCACTCTTTTAATAATCAGTGCCAAAGAATAATTAAGACATGATGCAACAGAGACATTAAAAATTCCCCATTCGCCCATGTGGGTGGTCTAGACCTTGAAGCTCAGGTCCTCTACCACAGGGCTGGGAGCTTGAGGGTCCTGTGCAGTATCTTAACTGTTCCTAGGACTGCGCTCTTCTCGAAAGACATCTCCAATTTTTTTTTCCTGTGATCTGCTGGAGCCACTCTCCTAGCTGGGGAATCACTGCACCTAGTGCTCAGATTACCACTGGGACCACTGTTACCCTCACCCTCCACATCTCCAGGAGCTCTTCTCTGAGCCCTTGGTACTCCTCCAGCTTCTAATGTTCCTTATTCCTGATGTTGCTGTCATTCGGTATCGCTACATCTATGACTACGGCCCTCTTGTTCTGCTTGTCTAGTACCACTATATCTGGTTGGTTAGTGTAGTGGAATTTTTGAATGATGTCTGTACCACACATCTGCAATAAACATAAGATATTTTGCTCTGATGTAGCAAAACTA